TTAGGGAACGCACATCCCCTCGATTGTGAGAGACAGCTAGGCTTGCAGGGATCCCCTGTATAGGCTCAGGAGTAGTGGTAGGTAGGTAGTAAAGGTGAATTTGAGGTAAGAATGTCTTCTCCCTCTCTGCCGGCGGTTTACCGGGCAGTTCTGTTTGACAAAATATGAAGGGAAAAAAAAAACAAAAAACTACGCGGCCCGGGTAATCCAGAAATACTGAAGAGTGACACCCAGTTGAATACACGGCTCCTCGCCTCGCCTTCTACAAGCTTTCCCATCTAATTGGAGGCTTCTTATGGGCCTTCCGGTGGCGATACGCGCGAGTTTCTTGTGCCTCGGGGGCCATCAGACGTTGTCCACTGCGACGCAGCATGCACTCTTCACACCACCGAAGCCTCTCCGCTTTGTGGCCTGTGTAGGATTGAAGATGTGCTGCATCTGTGCTTGTTCTGCGGACTTTCTCGTCCCATTTGGGCCTGGTGGGCACAATCGAGCAGTTCCAATACCTCGCCCCGACTCGCGACGGATCGCGGATTTTATTTATTTTGCTAGGAGCACCATCGCCGAGGAGGAGGGTGGATGTCCTTGGGTGAGGGACTTCGACTTGGGGAAGACGGGGGGGGTGGGGGGTGCAAGAGGGCGCTTAGCTGGTGGAGAGGAGCAGGTCGCTTCAGTTGGTGTCTTCATTCGTCATTGGGCTGTTGTAGACAGTTTATACTTCATCGAAGACCCTGTCGTAGTCAGAAAGTCTACGTCGAGGGACTTCGACTTGGGGAAGACGGGGGGCAGGTGGTGCAAGAGGGCGCTTAGCTGGTCGTGAGGAGCAGGTCGCTTCAGTTGGAGTCTTCATTCGTCATTGGGCTGTTGTAGACAGTTTATACTTCGATAGGTGCTGCCTGATTGCAGTTGGCTTGTAGTCAGGAAGCCTACGTCGATAGGTGCTGTCCGATTCCCGATGGGGCGCCAAGCGCCATGTAGGGGAGCGACATCGTCGACACTGGTGTTGGACGCGAGAAGAGGGCTTTCATTATCAATTGCCTTCAGTGCTTTGCTCTTGAGAAAAATAAAAATAAAAATAAATCAGGAGTTATTCAGAGTTTTCACTTGATAGTTTTGCCAAGCAACGCTTGTCCCCTTTGGCGGGTCACCGTCCAGCACTCGGCTGGGGGCGTATTTAACTTTCCAACAGGACCGGGCCTAACAACATCATGTCTCTTCAGGATGCAACTACGGGACCGGGCCTTGAACCCAGCCGCTATCCAGGTTTTGTTTTTTTGTGGAGTATAACACATCCACCAGGACGAAAACCAAACACTTGTGCACCCATAGGCAGTCTGGACTATATCTCAGTGCCTGCACCTAAGCTGGGAAATGGTCCCAGTACGTTTTTGGGTTGTTTGCCAAGGAATCCCCGGCCTCCCCCTCTTTTTTTTTTTCTTTTTTTTTTAATTTTTAAAAAGCTATATTCTTCTCTCAATTTCACCTCACACTGCCTACCTACCACTACTCCTAATTGTAGGCATGTGGTCATAATATGAACCTGAATTTGAAAAAAAAAAAAATTGAACCGAAGTATTCTGTCGCAAAGATAAATTTGAGCTGGTGTACAAGATCAGCACTGCAGCCAGTTTATGTTATGCAATCAGTGAGCCATTCCAGCGCAGCATGCACCAGGCCCCACCAGTGCCACGTTTGTGCTAAGCTAGCCCAAGCCTCACCGTTGGGCCTCGCTCCAGTACACAACACTCTACATGCATTTGGACTTACTTTCTGGACCCGATACGTTCTGAATGTTGAGCTTGTCCGAATGCACGTGGCCCCGAAGGCGTCCAAGTGCATGTAGAGCGTTGTGCACTGGAGCGAGGCCCATTATGATGCCCGTCCTCATGCTTTGTGATCATGCATGTAGCACCAGTGCGGCCTAGCGGTGGCAGAAAAACTAGCACAACCTAGCGAAAGCAGCGAATTGCTGCTTCTCAGAGATACTACTCCAGCTGTCGTCGGGCCAGGAGAAACAGCCCTGTCCTCTGTCTCCTGTCCTTTTTTTTCATTCTCTGTGGGCCTATCTAACTGCAACTCCATCGAAAGACATACATTTTTTCATCTCTCTCTGCTCTCCGCTCTTGTCAGTCAAAGGTTGTCAGAGGACACTTAACCGCCCTTTCTTTTCTTTTCCCTTTGAAGTTTGAACCTTTGTGCCATGCACCTCTCTGCGCTGCTGACCAGTCGGCCTGCCTGCGGCTGATTTGATACGTGCGATGAGGTCCGGTCCAATGAAGGATATCCTTGGTCTGTGGCCTAGATACCCTTGGTCTGGTTTAAAGCGAGTTACCCTCGGTCTGGTTTAAAGAAGGATACCCTTGGTCTGGTTCAAAGAAGGATAGCCTTGGTCTGGTTTTTAAAGAAGGATACCCTTGGTCTGGTTGATACCCTTGGTCGGTCTCTGGCCTAGATACCCTTGGTCTGGTTTAAAGCAAGTTACCCTCGGTCTGGTTCGAAGAAGGATACCCTTGGTCTGGTTTAAGGAAGGATAGCCTTGGTCTGGTTTTTAAAGAAGGATAGCCTTGGTCTGGTTTTTAAAGAAGGATACCCTTGGTCTGGTTGACACCCTTGGTCGGTCTGTGGCCTAAATACCCTTGGTCTGGTTTAAAGCAAGTTACCCTTGGTCTGGTTTAAAGAAGGATGCCCTTGGTCTGGTTCGAAGAAGGATACCCTTGGTCTGGTTTAAGGTAGGATAGCCTTGGTCTAGTTTTTAAAGAAGGATACCCTTGGTCTGGTTGATACCCTTGGCCGGTCTCTGGCCTAAATACCCTCGGTCTGGTTTAAAGCAAGTTACCCTCGGTCTGGTTTAAAGAAGGATGCCCTTGGTCTGGTTCGAAGAAGGATACCCTAGCCTTGGTCTGGTTTTT